GCTGTACCACCAACCTCTTGACATATATAATTTAGGAATCACTACAAAATTACACTTCCTCCCCTTTCTAGTGGATGGAAAGTATAATATGCTTGGTGCAGCAAGCTCTTCTGTAGAAGGTTTATTCCAGCTATTTCTTGAAAGCAAATTGGAAGAAGGGATAAAGGCTGAAGTTTCAGGCCTGGTAACCACAAGGTAATGAGAGATGCCCAGAGCATGGCTTTTTTCTTACCTTATTGAAGGTAGCAATTCGTCTCCAGTTTCCTTCTGCAGGAGAAGGAGCTACAATGGGTTCTGCCTCATCATGGTTCAGGTAGAAGTCAGCAACATATAATTATCTGTGCTGGAGTCCATGTTCGCCATGGAGACAAAGGAGCATAAAGCCAGTGAGGAGGCTGGGCTTACCAAGATACACTATCCACCACTGTCACTATGGAAATGAACTGTATATAATACTGGTCTTTTATACCACTCTTTATTCAGATGTCAATGTGCTTGCTTCAATATATATATATATATATATATAACATATGTATGTGAGCAGGAAAGATGTCTCAGTCCCCTGCTGATCTTGCAGGGGACTGAATTTCAGTTCCCAGTGAAATTCAGTGCCTCACAACTGCCTGTTACTCAGCTCCAGGATCTGGTACTCTCTTCTGGCTTCCACTGGCACATGTTTTCCTGTGCAATACCCACACACTTACACATAATATAAAAACATTTTAAAAGATAGGGCTAGAGGGATTGCTCAGTGGTTAGTAACACTGACTGCTTTTCCAGAGGACCAAGGTTCAACTCCCAGTACCCACATGGCAGTTCATAACCATCTATCTGTAACTCCAGTTCCATGGGATCTGATGCTGTCTTTCGATCCCCATGAGCACTGCATGCAGGGGGTACAGAGACACATATGTAGGAAACACACACACATAAAATAATAAAACATTTTCTTCTTTAAAAAGAAAATATATACGTGCTGAAGAGATGACATGGTGATTAAGATTACTGACTTCTCTTCCAGAAGACCTGGGTTCATTTCCCTATACCCACACTGGGCAGCTCACAAGCAGATCTGACTTCTTCTGGCCTCTATGAGTACTGCATTCACTGCACATACCCAAACACATGTACACACACACACACACACACACACACACACACGAAAATAAAAATAAAATCTTTAAGAAAATGTATGTGTGGGCAGCTGCTGGAAAGATGGCTCAGCTGTTAAGAGCACTTGCCACTCTTCCAGAGGACTTGCATTCAGTATCCAGAACCCATATGGAAGCTCACAACCATTTGTAACCCTAGTTTTAGGGCATCAGATGCCTTCTTATGGCCTTCTTGGGTCCCAAGCACATATGTAATACATATGCACACATGCAAGCAAACAAACACATAAACATGAATCTTTTAATCTATTAATGAATCTTTAATCTATTGTAAATAGAAGGTATGTAGGGAGTCCTGGGTTTGACCTTCCCACCAGGGCCAAAAATGTTTAAAAAATTGTCTTAACAATATATATTAACATGTGATATCTTGAACATAATCTATGTATCTGTATCTATATCTTAGGAAAAATATGTATTCCTGGATATCTATTTTGGCAAAAAGGCTAGTGAAACTATATATATAAGCTGTTTAAGGACCAGGTCAATTCAAGTTTTGGCTTTGAGGGGAAAATGAGGTTCTGACCAGACAATAAATGAGCTTTACAAAGGGGATGATAAAGGATATAAGCCTGTGAAGTGGCTATTCATCAGATAGTAACTTGCTCTTGTGGCCACCCTGCAGGATGAGTGAGGGAGAGGCTCTGGGAAAGCTGCCTCCTCTGAAGTTTCCACCAACCCTGTTCAAGAAAAGCCAGCAATTTTGTAATTCTCAGCTTTTCCCATTTAAATGGCTCTCTGCTGCCTACCGTTCGTGTTCCGGCTCCTGCATGAGCTTGAGCCTGGTTACTCTAGTCTGGCCACAGAGGCGAAGGTGGCTCTATCCTCAGCAGTCCCCACTCACGTTTCCGAGCCTATTTCTTACCAGAGTTCACAACGTGCTCAATAATGAAGAGGTCCCAGCATGAAACACCCACACATCTTCATCTCTGCTAAGTTGACAAAGCCCATCTGCCCCCAAATCCTTCTTAAGTGGCATGATGGAAAATTACTGATACGCCGTTGACAGATTCCAGAGTTATAAAAATCATGAGGCAGACTGGAGAGGTAGCTCGGTGGTTAAGAGCACTGGCTGCTCCCAACATGTGGGAGGCAAAGGCAGGCATATCTCTGAGTTTGAGGCCAGCCTGGTCTACAGAGCGAATTCCAGGAAAGCCAGGGCTTTCCAGAGAAACCCTGCCTCAAAAAACAAAAACAAACAAAACAAACAAACAAACAAACAAACAAAGCACTGGCTGCTCCTCCAGAGAAAAAAGGTTTAAACTCCCACAATTTTGGCAGCTCACAACCATCTCTAATTCCAGTTCCAGAAGATCCTAAACCCTCTTCTAGCCTTCACAGGAACCTGGCATGCACGTGGCGCACAAATTTACATGCAAGCCAAACACCCACCCACACAGTAAACACAGACAACAAACCATAAGGCATCAAACTAAGATCATCGATTTTTCAGAATAGGTGTTTGTCAGATGAGGGGGGGACACTTGGGTTCCAGACCCTGCAGATAAGTCCAAGCATGGGCAGCAGGTGGCACTATTGGACTTGACATTGAATTCAAACAGGAGGCCTGAGCTCTTACAGGAGCTTGTGTAAGAGGGTCTGAGTCGGGTAGGTGGCTGCCAAACCTGTGACAGCTACTATGCAAGGACCATACGATGATGTATTGTAATGGTAGACCCTAGGGGCACCTGCATGGCTAGCCCCTTTCCACTGGCCACAGTGACCAGCAGACAACTACCCACCATGATGCCAACTGCCCAAACCAACATCAGCAGCCTTCCTTCTTCCTCCCTGAGGAGTTCCAATCTCCTCTGGGACCTGAGATAGCTGTTCCACCTGAAATCCACTGGAGCATAGCATAGTTTAACTTTGACACATTTGACAAACTACCTTAAAGATAGCTGATAGAATTGAGATTGCACACTGTCAAACACTGTAGCATTTGAACATTTTTATGAGGCTCCCCTGGGGCTGCTTTGCATAAGTCCATTGTGTGTGGACAATTGGGTACACTTCTGCTCCCTGGGGCCTGGAACAGAGGTTGTCTCAGGCTGACCTCAGCAGTCATAGGCCTTTTGTCCCTCATTATGTGTGGTAGTCTGGGGCAATCTCCACTTTAACCTTTGCTTTCCAGAATGTCTAAGGGTTCTCTGAGCTCAAGAATAAAGAAAGTAGCCATCAAATGTAGGTCTAGCATGAGATACATGAGATACTAACTTAGCACATTCATTCTAACCTTAAGGGACCTTTTCATCTAAACTGTACAGAGGAGGGAGGTGAGGTCCAGGAACTAATGTTAAGGGACCAAGCCAGGACATAGAGCCAGTCAATTCATCTGTATACAGTGGCATGTCTTGTAAAAGGAACTTTAATTCAGCTGTTTCAATTGGTGTCTTATTGCATCTGTCTGCCTAGTCCTGGAAGCTTCCAGTTCCATACAATCTAACCTAGGCCTAGAATGTTTTCAGCCTCTGAGATTTACTGCTTAATAAGATCACCCTTTTTTGTTCTTTCTGAGCTCATAGCTGAATGGTTCAACTCAGCTATTCTCTCCTCTCTCAGCTAACTTTTTCAGTCTGGCTTTTCTCTTGGCCTCTGAATTGCTGTTTGGCCTCATATTATTTCTAATAATCTTTTCTAATCTCCGACTCCTGTCTTCACCTATATCTGTTCTCTCACTCAACTTCTTTTTAAAACCCTCCCAGTAAAACTGCCCCATTCTCTGTGTTGCTCCCTTAAGTAGCTTCCCTTTCCTTTGTCTTCCCATGAGAGCTGGACATATCCTATACTGTCAAATCTTTCTCTGATTCATCACTTTTTCTGCCACTCAATTAGACATCCCTTTCAAACTTGGATGCTTCCTTCTACTGACCTTTTGAGATTAAAGGCATGTACCATCACACCTGGACCTAAGCTTTTCTTTGCCTCTGTCTTCTGGATTAAAAGCATGTTTGTATTCCAGCCGGATCACACAGTCCTAGCTCTTTGGATATGATTGATCTCTTGTCAGAATTTAAAATTCCTCTACAATGTCCCCAACCACAGCCCAGGAACTAAGTGGAAGTCTTCCTAAGCCAGTAAGTCACTCTACCTTGTCTTATCCCTTTAGCCACACACCCTTGTTTTGGTCTCCATCTTTTTTTCACCCCAAAGATGAGTGAATAACAAAGGGGTAATTCTTGTTGAAGGCTTAAGGTTTTTTTTTTTTTTTTTTTTTTTTTTTTGGGTAAAATGTCAACTCTCAGTAGGTGGCACACGACTCCACTGGCATAATCACCAGAAGGCACCAAGCCAACCCTAGAGCAGGAACAGAGATGAGATGTAGGCTTTCTTATGCTTACAGCCCTCACAGGCCATACTTCTCAATGTCATCCTGACAACCTGGTTGCATGGGCTAACCTAACCTGCCACAGAGATGCCTCCTCTACAGATTGTCATCCCTGGCTAAACAAGGATCATCACAGGTATAATCCCAATCACCACAATTCAGGAATTCGTACCACAGCTCCATTAGGCAGCGTCTAATGGAGTGAAATTAGGCAGTGTCTAAGTAAGTAAAATTACTTAGCTTCTTCAGGTGTACAGATTTTAGTATGTTTATCCTATATTATGTGACTATTATCCACCTATAAGTGAGTTTATACCATGTGTGTCTTTCTGCTTCTGGGATGCCTATTACATATACTTTCTTTTCTGAAAATGTTAAACCAACTTGTATTTTTAAGCATTTCGTAACAACATATATCAACTTATGTGTTGCTATACTTAGCACATTCTAAAGTTTCCTGCAGTATTTTCTGAAAGTATAAGAATTTGTTACCACAAATGCAGAATTCGACAAGAATATATTTATTTTTTCATAAAAGTCTTAATAAAAATATATTTTTTCCTTAACTTAAAAACACAGTTTCAGAAAGCAAAAAGTTCAGGTTGTTATAATTCATTACACATTTTACAAACAGTAGAAGAAGCAGTCAGTAGACAAGAGTGCGAAGCAACAGAGCGCTCACTTCAGGAGCTTCACTCTGTCCTTCAGCACCTTAAAGGTGGGATTCTTGCTGATCTTCTTGTTGAAGATGGCTAGGAGCTCCTCCTCCGACATATGATGGTCACTTGTCACTGCGTGGTACTGAGCTATAACCTTTACAAAGAGAAAGATGTCAGGTGGGGAGGCCATGTTGCAAATGAGTTCTGAAACCCTACCTGTCAAACCCTTCTGTGAGGATGAAGTACACAGAAAAAGGCCCAGATTTGGACCAACATTACAAAAAAAAAAAAAAAAAAAAAAAAAAAAAGACCCCTAGATGTTGGTGACACAAGCATGCTCTCCTTGTAAAGGCAAGCAGCTGCCCAGGTACGTAAGATGGCTCAATTGTAAAGGGACTTTCTAGCCTGATGACTTAGGTTCAATCCCTAGGGCCCACATGGTGGAAAGAGAGAACTTCTGTACGTGTGGACACACACACACAATAAAACTTTCCTTGGAAAAAGCATCAGCAGCTAATTATATCCACAAAGGAGAGCAAAGTGCATGCAAAGATCATTTGGGTCATTTCCAGTATAATCAACTGTTGGCAACGCAGTCTTTAGACAGGTCCAGAACTGGAAAGCTACCCTGGCTTGGCAACAAGATGGGCTTGTTCCAGTGGCACACCACTAAAGGGCCATGTGAGCAGCTCTGGAAATATCTGACTCTCTCAGAGTTTCAGGTTAAACAACATACATCTACATAAAAACAACCCCTCCCCAGTTGTTTCAGGCCTCATTTTGCTACAGGACATACCTTTTTCTTTAACTTCTTGATTGATATCTCGTTGTCTGGGGACTGTTTAAGAACAGCTTTAATGGTACCCTTCCAGTTGAATTTACCTATAATGCAAAAAAAAAAAAAAGTCTGCACAGTTGTCTGCTTCCTGGGAAATGACATGACTCTCCCATGAACAAGATGCCAAGTTCTTCACTAGCCCAGTAACAGGGGCTTCCAGGCACAGGGGATCCTTCGGAACACTGAACTCAGGGAGGACAGATAGGCCTCACAAGCACTGTCCTTCAGAGAGCCTCAAAGGAGAAAGGACCAAAAGACACACTGAGCTGGGTCAAAGAGACCGTGGGTTGTAGAAGCACCTGAACAGCACAGCCTGCTCCTGCTTTTTCTGCAGGCCCGACTCTAACTGAGGCTCTGCAAACCTAAGGCAATGTGGGAAGGTGGCAAGCCAGACTGGCGGTGTCTCAGGATCTGCCATAGGACAGGCTTTTCTGTTCCATTGATTTAAAGCTGAGAAGTCAGTGACCTGGAAGACCAACAGGTACAAGCCAGAGCAGCCTGTACCTGCAGATTCAGCGAAGGAGCAAAGAAAGGTGCTTGGCCGGCCAGCAACTCTAACAGTACAACCACTAACTCCAGGCTAGTGCCAAAGCCTGTGTTCAACCATTGCTGGCCAAGGTCAAGTTGAGGGCAGAATCCGGCTTTCCAAAGGCTGTGGCAGAAGACACTGTCAAAGATGAACAAGAAATCTGAACTTTCTTCAATGACAGTAGGTAATGAGTAAGAAGCTGCTAGGCTGTAGTGACAGCAGAGTCCACAGGGGGCAACCTGCCTGGCACTGAAAAGGGGCAGGGAACTTGGACTTCCTTCACATCTACCTGGCAGCAGGAATACCCCACCTTAAGGTCTGGAGAGAAAGCCAGGAAATCAGGAAGCATGCTGTGGGTCAAAGGCCTGTAATCCCAACTACTTGGCGTCTAGGTAGGAGGATCATACATTCAAGGCCAGCTAGCCTGGCACACAGAGTAAGATCAAAGCCAGCCCCGACAACCACATTGATACTTTTGTCCCCAAATAGTAAAAGAGGCCTTGGACAAAGCTCAGTGATGGACCGTTTGCTTAGCACAGGCAAGGTCCCGTTCAAGGTCCCATTCAAGCCTTAGTCAGAGGTGGGGAATGAAGTAGCTAGATGTAGTGACACACATCTCTAATTCCAGCACTCAGGAGGCAGAGAAAGGTTCAAGATCAGCCTGGGATATACAGAGAAACCCTGTCTTGAAAACAAAACAAAAAAATATGTATGTATAACACACATATGATATATAAAGAAATCTCAAATTACAATAGTGGGAAAACAAAAACCCAAATCCAACCAGAAAAGGGAGGGACAAAAAGCCAAGAAAATAAACAACTTAATCTTTAAAAGCCTTTGGTCAACAAATTCAGACAGAGGCTTCAAGAGATCTGACTGAGCTTGACCAGTTGCTGAGCCTTCAACCACAGCTGTAACTCCCATCTTGGTTTATTTCTGCTGGCAGGAGGAGAGGGCAGGAGTCCACACTTCCCGCTTCATGATGCAGGAGCTCTGTGTTAAAAGGTGGTATTTAAGGGGAGCCCTAAGGTCTTGGGAGGTGGCCATGGAAAGAGATACCAGAAACAGACCCAAAGGCAGAGAGAGAACAGCTACAAGTGCCTGGACCTCAGGACATCTCTATAGGACAAGAAGCTAGACGAGACAGGTGGGGAAGGTGGAAAGGGAACAAGCCTTGCAAAACCACACTGGGCTCACTGTCAATTCCAGTGGCAATATATTGCTACTGTTTGGAACTGGAGTGCCTCTAAAGGCTGGGACCAAGCTTGGTGCCACTAGGAAGTATAGAAACCCTTGACAAGGTGGAACACTAATAAGGATTTGGGTCATTGCAGATGTGACCTTTAAGAGATTGTGGGACCCATTAGGCCTTTTGAATAGCAGGGCCTTTCCACAGGCCCCAAATCAACAGGGCCTAGTGACCATGAGCCAAAATTGATTGATTTTATAGTTTGATCATCTCAGATATTTGATACAGTAGTGAAATGCTGTCCAACATTTCTAGGTATTTTCAATCCAATCCCCTCCCCTCCTTCTTCTTATGGATGATGGAGGCATTATGGCACTAACCAACAGGCCTGAAGCACTGGGTTAACTTTAAAATTCTTGGCTGTGCCTCTGATGGGCATGGCATTGCAAGGAAGCCCTTGGCCCACCTCTGGCAAGGAGCATCTCTTCCCTACCCACTCAGAGTAAACACAGGGGGTGGTACCTTTCGATGGAGCCTCATAGTCCTTGGGCTCTCCCTCCTCAGGCTGTCCTGTCAACTTCATCTTTTTCTTCTTGTTATCGGACTCAACTGTTAGAGAAGCAAAAGTTTTAGTTGCTACCACTCACAGAAGCCTGGCTTGGCATCAGCTCCTTCTCACACCTCACTCTGCAAGATCTGGCATCAAGCTGGCTGATGATGAGCAATAGAAGGCTGAGAGGTGAGGTTAGGTGGACTCCCCAGAGCTTCTGCTCTTCTCCCTGCTTGGTCAATAATGTTAAGGCCTAACACATTTCTCTGTACCCAGAACTCACAGTCACAGAGAACCTAATGTGCAGGTTGGGCACATACCTTCCAAGTGCTTTTGCCGCTTCCGTTTTCCTGCTGTCTTGGCCTGGACCCCTTCAGCATCCTCCTCGGAAACTCCATTTCTGTCTGTTCCCTCTTCTGAGGCCTGCCTACCTCGGGCTTTCTTCTCTGACGGGCCATTGGCCTCGGTGGTTTCCTCCCCACCAGCCTCCTGGCCCTTTTTGCGCTTCTTTGGCTTCTGGCCCCCCAGGTTTTCCTGGTGGTTTTCTAACTTTAGCTCTTTCTTCTCTTTCTTCCTGTTCTTCTGTCGTTCCTCCTTCCTTTCTCTTTTATTCTTCTTTGCCTCTGTTTGCTCCTCTGTGGTGCCATTTGTTTTCGCAGATGGAACCTTAGTGGGGATCTCTGCATGTGGCTTGGTTGTGTGGCTGGGTAGCTGCTGATCTTGCTCCTTATGAAGTAAAAAACAGGAATCATCTAAGTGCCTGGTCTGGCCACGCCCATTGTTCACATTATACTGTTTATGATTGTGACACCTAACAACTAAAATTCAGCAATACAAATACAAAACCACCACCAGCAACAACAAAACACCTCTAAGCACATACCCCATTCTGGAACCTGTTCTCATGATATTAAAGGGTGAAATGAAGCAAGCCGAATTCCAGCTCACTGTCACCCTTTATATGGATAAAGAAAGAGTAGCCAGGTGTGGGAAAGTCAGGGAGCTGCACATCTGCAGCTCTGGGCTCAAGATCCAGTTCCACTGCTAGCAGGTGCTCGGGAGCTACTGTTTCATCTGTAGGACAAGGCATGATGCAACTCCATGGACAGCTAACATATGGTAACATGAGAAAGGTATGCCCTGTGTGTAGTACAGAAGACTTGATGCAGGTGAAGTGTTCTAAAGAAAACAAGTACAGACAGAGGTGCTGTCACTTTACCCTTCTCCAGGTGAGATGGCCACCCTCAGAACAGTCACAACTGCCAGTGTAAAGAATGAGGAGGAGAATCTGATGGGTCTGAGTACTTCCTGCAGGCACTTACAAGCAAGGCACTGCAGGCTGGCTTCAACTGGCAGAACCTTCAAGATGGAGGGCCAATAGGGGTTAGATCATCAGGGATGCTGCCCCCAGTGAATTAAGATCAAACCTACCTCAGACCTTGTTAGCTTCCTGCCAACCATGTCATTGCTTCCCAAAATGTTCCCATTACAACACTGTTTGCCAGAAGCTGAACAAACGAGACCACCTGATCTTAGACTTTCAACCCTCCAAGCCTTTTCTTTAGCAAGTACCCAGCTTAAAATTGTTGTAGCCACAGAAAACAGACAAACGCACTGCATGCACTGTGCTGAAGCATATTTTCTGCCTACTTCTGTACTTACTGAAACTGGGTACCCGGTCCCATGCAGACAGTTCCCCCTCCTTGCTATATTGTTACTGTACTGATTTCTCCAGATGTATCAGAACAGAGTACTGAACCGCCTGTAAGTCCCCTCTGCAGAGGGAGGAATAAGGCTGCTCCAGGTGCTAGAAAAAGCCTGGGTTAAGGCATCCACAAGCATGACAGCAAGTTCCACAACTTGGTCACTTTCAGATGACATGGGACAAGTTACTTAGTCCTCTCTGCAATGCCAACTGAAGGCAAACCAGCCTTCACTTGGAGCACAAACTCAGACCTTACCACTTGTTGCTTGGAGGACAGCATCGGAAAGCAGACAAACTAAACTGTGGAGGATTTCTATGAAGCTGACAAGGCTCCTGGGAAAAAAAGGCTTAGTGTGAACCCAGAAACAGACCCAGGAGGAAGAACGGAAGGCTTTTCCTACTGTCTTCTGTTAAATTATTACAATGTACTAACTAGCCACCTCCGGATTGCCATAATGAATACATGAGGTGACTAGCTTACAGAACATTTATCTTGGCTGATAAATCTGAAGGTTCCTATCTAAGACTGAAATGCTTTGGGTCTCAGGCAAGGGGTGTGGCAGGGTAAACCATTCATGTCGTGAATTAGAAACAAAGAGAACAAGGGGCTGTCTCAACACCCCCTCAAAGGCAAGTCCTCAGTGTCCTAACTTCCTCCAACCAGGACCCACTTGCTAATAGCTCCAAAACTCCCAACAGTGCCAGAAGCTGATGATGAGCCTTCAAGACATGGGCCCTTGAGGACATTCAATCCCCAAGCAGTAACATATGACCACTGAGTGCCAGCTTTCAAATTCCCTTCTCCTAAGCTTAGACAGTCTCCAGCTGGTCTTCAACTAGCTCATGGCTGCAGGATGGAAGGCACACAGCAGTTCTTAAAGACTCAGTTCTTCCCACTTCCATTCCCTGCTCCCTAGTGATGCCTTACCTGAAGCATGGCCTTCGCTGTAGAACAGCCCACCCCCCTTTCCTCTCTGCCCACTGCCTTTTGCTCTTCACAGCACTAAGACCCGGCCTAATCTGTAACCCTTCATCTGCTGTTATCTGCTTCCGCCACACTCAACTCCACTAGGACAGGCACATCACCTGATGAGGGCCGTACCCAGGGCACCCCTGCTAACTGACATGGAGAGAAGCTGTCTGTCGGAAATAGAGAGGCCCACCCCGACCATGCCTGCAGGTACAGGACGATATGTCCAAGTCAAGGCTAAACCAAGCCAGAGGCCCATTTCTGTGTAGACGTCCCCAGGCAGAAGTACAAGGGCTGCTATCATATGCTTTTTATTTATTCCTTACTTACTGCAGCCACGTCTGAGCTGTTGGAGCACAGCAGGAGCTGACTGCTCATTTCCCTCTATTGATAAGTTTAAAGACTCAAAAGAACTAGAAAAAAATCAATACGCTGCAGTTGAACTAAGCAATTTCAAATCTTCAATTTTTTTTTGTGAAAATAATAGAAATCACCTTTTAAAATTATGGGTAACAGTCATGTCAATTAAATGATAAAATGGTTTTAAGATTTCATGGTTCAATCTGTGTACTATGGAGAAACAAGTACAAGATATACCACAAAGGTAAATTTCCTTTTGCTGTTCACACTAGCTTTTCTTTTTTGTGTGGGCACTTATACTGGTATACTTGTTTGTGTATACATGTGTGGAAGCCAGAAGGTCAACATCAGCTGTCTTTTTTGTACTTTCCATCTTATTTTTTGAGACAGGGTCTCTGACAGAACCTAGGGCTTTTTAATTAGGCCAGACAGGTTGGGATCCACTTGTTTCTGCCTCCTCATCGCTGGGGTGACAGACAAGCATGGCCATGCCAAGCTTGTATGAGAGCACTGGGGATCCAAAGCCAGGTCCTCATGCTTTGCGCGGCAAGCGCTTTGTTTTGCATTCTGGACTTCTGACTAGAGCAGGACTAGCCAGAGCATCCTCTGTTCTCAAATGGCTGAACAAAGTTCCCGAACAGGATGTAAGTGGACAGCTGTACATTAACAATGGAACCATAACAACTTGGGTAAAGAATAGCAAGCCAAGTCCTGCTCCTACTACACCAGGGAGATCTCTATGCAATCACTTTGACCAACAGGTGGCTAATGGTTCACAAGCTCTCCCTGTAACAGAAGCAGGATGACTGAACACCCATTAGATATACACAATGCTACAATATGCAGGCGATCTGGGGACCCTCACTGTTGACTGAAAGACCACTCAGCTACGATGCCCTGAGCCTGTTTAAACTTCCTTCATGACACCAAGCCACTCCTGAGATACTTATGATCTGCTCTAAGGAATAAATACAAAGTGTACAGTAGCATGGATATTAGATTAGGAAGTGGAAGCTCAGAGGCTAATGTGGCTATGACCACACACACAAAGCAAAACAAAGGCCAGAAGCAGATCAGCCAGACATCAAATCCTGGACCACTCCCATGCACTCGGCCTCACTGCTGTGCAAAAAAACTGGCCTCATGCCACAAAAACTGGTCCTAATGCCAAGCATGTAGAATGAATGGCTGGGTCTGCACAACAGGTGCTCCCAGCTCCATCCTGCCCACCAAAGAGAGAGAAGGAAGTTCTTTGAAAACGCCATCTTGACCTCCATACACGGAACTGCACTTCGTTATTCCCAATTGTTTGTCACACTGCAATTGAAAAGTGGAGTGGACTCACACTGCTAGATGCTTCAGAGAAGATGCTCCACACCTGCTCCAGAACAGAGTCGCTGTGCACCTTCAGGCTGTTCCTCATCCAGTTCTGTAGACACAAGAGAAAGCCGCTGTCCCCTCTGAGAGGTCACTTGATGGGCCACACCCTGATTTGGCAATATCATTTAAATTCATACCTGAAACTTTGCCTTTTTTCTGGGAACATTGTCAAAAGCACTAATTTGCTGTAAAAGTTCTCGCACCTTGGGGCTGACGTTGGGCTTCTTTATTAATTCATTAATTTTCTATTTTAGAAAAAGAAGAAAATAAACAAATGACATAATTACATAAAGCCCAACTCATGCCCTTGGCTTGGCCAGAGGGCTCTCACATTCTTTAGCCAAGATTCTCTATTTACACCTATGTGTAATGACAAATATCCTAATATTCAACACAGTCCTGGCCAAAGCAGCTAAGCAAGGGGGAAAAAAGTTAATGCTTCCTTAACAGAAGGGACAAAATCAGGTCACAGGTGTACAGGTATGCCTTGAGGGAACATGTCCCCCACGTAGAAAACTCAGCAGGGTTCGTGCAGCCAGTTAGAATTAACAACTCATTCAGCAGCACAATCAACTCTTGAAACGCAAGTTGCATTTTTATACACCAACAAAAAACAATTCAAACTTGAACATTAGGAGAATCCTATTTGCAATACAACATAAAAAGCCATGACCAAAGAGGTGAAGGAATTGTGCACTAAACACTGTTACAAGAATGAAAGACAGTATTAATCGCATGGACCAAGACAACATCAAGATGACCCGAAAGCCCTGGCAAAGTCCAGTTGTTTGGTCTAATTCACATGGAACCCTGAGGGTCTCCAAATGACAAAAACAATCTTGAAAAATAAGTTTCTTAAATTTCACAACTCACTACAAAACTAACAATGATCCCAAAAGTGCAGTATTGCCACAAAGACCACTGGAAAAGGACAAGGAAGGAATATGCCCCCAAGGATGTGGTCAAAGGGTTTTTGACAGGATGTCAACAACAGTCCATGGAAGAATGAACCCCCTTTTCAACAAGCTGGGACTAGTGGATCCTCACATGGACACCGGACTCTTTCCTTGTTATACAGAAAATAGTTCAAAATGAATCAAAGACCTAAATTTTAAAAGTTAAACTATAAAGCCTCAAAGGAAAAAAATTCCTTCAAGATATCTGATCTGGTAATAGTTTCTTATACACAACACCTGACAAACAACATTAAGGGTCATCTGGATACCATACAAATACTTTTCCCAATAGTGTTTATATGGAGGTGACAGCATCTGTACCCTAGCTGGTCCATCTTGCCAGCATCACACACAAACTTAAAGATAAAGGTTTCTGCAGCTTCTCAAGTGGTCCTCAACAGGGTAACTTACTGCAAAGTCCTTCATGAGGGTCATGGCCAGAGTGTGCATCTTTAGAGAGAGCCAACACTTCAAGTTCACACTCACTCTGCCATTCAATAAGGAACTACTAACCTGATTTTTAGGAAAATGCCATCTCCACAAAGGTGACATTTGTCCACCCATTTTCCTTTGTTTCAAACTGGAGCTCACTGCTTTTGTACACTGTAAAAGGAACTTTTACTGTCCTGCTTCAGTTGTCTTCGATGCTTATTGCCTCTGCCTGCTAACATAGGCCTAGTCCTGGAAGCTTCTAGCCTCCGCACAATCAAAACCTAGGCCTAGAATGTCTTCAGCCTCTGACACCTACTGCTTAATAAGCTCACCCTTTCTTGTTCTTTCTGAGCTCTGGGCTGACTGGCTCAACTCAGCTGTTCTGGCTCAAACTCCTCTCCCAGCTGACATATCCAATCTGGCTCCTCATTCCTGGCTTGTTCTGCCTTCAACCTCTCTCTGTAAAGCTTCCCCAGTAAACTTCCTCTTCTCTCTCTCTGCATTGCCCCTTCAGTAGATTCCCTTTCCTCTCTCTTCCTGTGACAGTTGAACATATCCTAGTCTGTCAAATCTCTCTCTGATTTGTCACTTTTTCTGCCACTCAATTAGATATCACTTTCAAACATGGGTGTTTCCTTCTACAAACTAACTTTACCTTCATTGTTTGGGATTAAAGGCATGTACCACTACGCCTGGACCTAAGCTTTTCTTTACTTGATACTTGTTCTATACTAGCTGGCCTTGAACTCAGATCTGCTTGCCTGTCTTCTGGATTAAAGGCGTGTTTGTATTCCAGCTGAATCTCTTGCCCAAGCAGCCATGTTCTGAATTAAAATTCCTCTATAGTACATTTTTTCACTAGAAAGTTCTTACATTTGTGAAAATGTCTACTTTGTTCAGATGTGACAGACTGATATGTCTTAAGCTGTAAGACCTCTACCACTGGGGGTGTACCTGTATATACCTCGATTTTGTTTTATAGCCAAGAGACAGAAGGAACCCCCAATCTGTAAAAAACAGGAGCCACAGATAAATGCACCACAGTTTTATCTTCTCACCATGTGCTGACACTTCTGCTCTACCCTAAGGAGTGCTGCCTCTGGGACACAATCACTGAAGCCCCAGAAGGAAGCAGGTGTGGGATGAGCAATAGGATGGGAGACCCTTACCTGAATCCACGCCTGCTGTTTCGCATCACCTTTGTATGTCTTGGCTTCATAGCCTTTGCCTCCATACTTCTCACCTTCACTGATGCACTTCACATGGCTTTTGTAGTCATCACCCCTGCAGAGGGACCAGGGTTCATTACTAGGCTGACACCATGCTAGTGGCTCTCAAAAACAGCACAGTAATTTGTTTTTTACTTTCCACACCTGGTCAACTGCACAAACAGCCTAATTCTTAACTTCTTTTTTTCTGCTTATTTGTTGCTTTTGGGCTCTGACAAAATGACAACAAAGTAAATGTCAGCTAGAAAGCGGAGCAATCCAAACTTTCACTAAAAACAATTTTTTTTTTTTTTTGATGGTGCTGGGAATTGGGCTTCACACATACCAGATAAAAGCTCTGCCACTAACCCATATTCCCTTCAACTATATGCCCCCCAAATTGTGTGTGTATGTGTGCATGCTAACTGCCAACGAGTATACGTGGAGGTGCAAGGACAACCGGGGGAGTCAGTTCTCTCTTCTACCTTGGGTCCTAGGGATGGAACTTAGGTGGTCAAGCTGGTAGGGTATATGTTTTAAACCCACTGAGTCACCTTGCTAGCCCCAAATTCTCTAACTAACAGAATCTTATTCCTTTGGTCTCCTTTTTAACAAGTCCTTAAAATGAAATGGCACTCCCTTGAAGAGTCACACCAAGTGTCGTCAACAGACCATAAGCTTTCATTCTTAAGTCACTGCCCTCATTTTGCTCCTCTATTTCTCCAAGCTTTGTGGGGCCTGGATCTATACCTGGATCTTCAGGAATTATCAGAACTTACCAGAAATCTTTCCCACAGTCAATGCAAGAAAGACATTCACAGTTTCTGCAGACAGACACGTGCTTTTCCACCTGTATTTTCTTCACTGATTCACCACATGCATTGCATGTAAAAAATACCATTTTTGGTTAAATGATTAAATATTCTTTGAGACAGGTTTGTACTCTTGCCCTAAAAAAACAAAACAAGATGAAGATAATTATAATAAGCCGAAACTCCTCCCAATAAATGAATTCCATAATAAAAGAGCAGGCTCAAAGCTTATCACTAATCTGAGAAGTAACATACCACCAAAGGCAGAAAAAACAGCTGAAGCCAGGAGCTATGTTCACATGCTAATGTACTGAGCCCTAGCACAAGCTAGAATATCATGGCTCAACATCTCTATGAAGCCACAGAGGCACAGAAAGTAAGAAACTTGCCCAGGACGGCATAAAACCTGGAAGATTGGCAGCACTGATGTCTTTAAGCAGCCTAAAATATACAAAATCAAAGTGGTAGCCAGCAGCACAGTGTAGGTGTGAATTCCAATGAAGACTAAAAAATAGTTCCTACATGCACAATGAAGGAGTCACAAGTGTTAAAATGAAGACATCCTCCTGGCCTCAGTGGACAAGGACAAACAAACATATTTCAGTAGGGTGTATGCATGCCAGGGAGGAAGAGAAGGAACCTATCAAAGGAGCTCGCAAACCCAGGTATGCCAGCCTCCCAAGGTGCACACTGCATGGAGGGGCATCTGCTCACACATAGCCACTTCATGTTGCATGTATGCTACTGTACTCTGCAAACAGATTCCTTAAGTGTTACCAATGCCACAGTAACTTTCCATGCTTACATAGGCTTTTAATCATCGGACTCTGAGAGCAGTGCTGTTCTTATAAAATGGGCTTCATTCAGCCCAAATACTGAGAGTTGTTAACCCAGCACCCTCTTCCTCAGTATGAGAGGAATGGTGGGCATCAAGTAAACACACAGGATTTGCTTCTCTGCTTCATGTAAGAACTCCTCAGCTGCGCTTGGTTTACAGAGAATTCAAGTACAAATTACCTTTTGACACAAGCCAGTGAGATTACACCAAAGCAAGGACTGTTTTCTTCCACTGAGCTCTGAATGGAAATATCCATCCTGCTACAAGGGCCTCCTGCCCTGTGGAAGCACTGCTGGACACTGGTTCATCTTAGATACAAACCACAGGTCCTTGACACCAATGCCCTGTGCCTTCCTCCTCAGCCTGTGAACAGAGCTAATTAGCAAGGGAAGGCATGTGGGCAGCTATAGTCTGGCACCAAAGGAAGACTGAGGCAGACAGGACCATTCTAGACCCTGCAAGTATTGTTGTCTAGCCTGTTTTGTTGTTGTTGTTTTTAAGGACTTGTGTCACACCTCAGGGAACTGGGACCATGCTTAATGTCTACCACAGCCTGGCTTTGGAGATGCTCCCTATCATTTTGCACAAGGCAGATGGAGGTGAATAAATGCCAGGCAGCAAGACCAGCAGTTCTGCTGCAAGTGTGAAAACAGGAACAAGAGCCAACTGCCACCTAGTCTGGACATTCTTACACACTTACGTAAGAATAAGAGAAAAGTCACTGATTAGATACCAAGAAATGGACTGCCATGGTAACACAGCCAATAGCTGCTACAATTAGCTAAAGGATCCTCTGAAAACTTAGAAAGCACTTCCACAACGAGGATGATGAAGATAATAACCCTCAACTTAGACATGACTTAGAGCTTTTCAACCTCAGCCACTGAGGACTGCTGTTTCTGGTCAAGCAGGAGAGCAGAGAACAGACTTCCACAAACCTTGAGAACCACAGGGTCTGTTCTCAGGAAAGACCAGAAGTAAAGCCCAAGAAGGACACTGGAAAAAAGATACAGGAAGTGACAGAAGTGGCATGGCAAAAATATGCTCATAGCATCTATGAAAAACAGGTCCCCAAGGCACAGTGTGAAACTAACTCAGAAGAAGATTGGAATCAGGTCATATGTCCAAGGGAAACATCAGTCTGGAGCCATGCTTAACTCATTTTCTATCTATTTATTGGACATGAAATGGGTAACAGTTTGTTCACCTGCTTGGCCAATGAGATAAGATTTGTAAGGAGCTTATTCAGATCCAGGGTGGGACAATCCAGACCCAGGGTCACCTTGGCTGTACAGCACATCCAACCCAGGAAAATACCTTTCATTTAAGAGTACATGCTACAAACAACAGTAAGGCTCGGAATCACAAAGGCCAGCTCGACTGACCATCCAGCAGGGTCCAAGTCTTTCTCTAGGCTTAACAGCATCAGGAGTGTGAAGGCCACAAAATATGAAACAGAATCCCAGGCTAAGTGAAGATAGCAATGTCCTGTTAGGTTTACTCTGCTGTGATAAACACTCAACCAAGAACAACTTGGGGAGGCCAGAGATCAGCCTCAGAAGTCACCTACCTTCTCTTTTCTAGAAATTCACTTTATTGAGTCTATAAATGTTTTGTGTCTATGTGTATGCCCAGTATTCAGAGGTCAGAAGAAGGCATCAGATCTCTTGGATTCTGGGTGCTGGGAATTGAACCCAGGTTCTCTGGAAGAGCAGCAGGTACTCTTAATCATTGAGCCATGTCTCTGGCCCCCTACCATCTCTCTCACTGGGAGTTGCTGATTAGATCAGGTGAGCTGACTAGTGAGTGAGCCACAGGGATCTATCACCACACCTTGCTTTTTAATTCTCAGGGCATGAGAATTCTGATCCTCATGCTTGCGTGGCAAACATTTTACAGACTGCACTATCTCTCTATTCTTAGCATACTCTTAACTAATGCACACACACTGACTATATTTACCCCAAAAACAGCACATCTTAAAGGACAGGCTGGCAACTCCAGCACAAGATCCAGGGAGCAAGCCACTGCTCCCTTTAAACTTCAAGTTCTCCCCATCTATGATTCAGCCCACCATAACTAGACACAAGACTCTTCCAAGAGAATTCCCAGAAATCACAGCTGCAGTGCAAGAGAAGTAAAGACAAGCACACACCTCCACCCTCCCGGGACCTGGAGGAAGACCATGAGTGGGCACCAGCTTCCAATGAACCTCAAAGAATCCAAGCCATGCCTCTGCTTTGCAGATCGAGCCTCCCCACCCCAGCCTCATTTGACTTACATGTTAGGCACTATGGTAGTCACCAGACGCCTGACACAATTTGAACAGGCTCCGTGTCCTAGGACCTCAAAGGCCAGAAGCCAGGTTTGTAGGCACACACAACCCTCTTATTTCTCTTAACTCTTATCTCTCAGGAGGTAGGTGCTTCAGGAAAATTCTGACATTTGCTGAGTAGCTACTACATGCCAAGCCCTTTGCCCCTATAATCTTCACACATATACACCAAGTTAGGTTCTCTAGTATCCCTTTTGGACAGATGTAGAGCCGGGTACAACAGAGTTAAGTAGCTTGTATCTAGTTGGAGATTGGAGATTCGCACTCACTTCTTAGCTCTTTGGTACTCTGAACTCCAGGGACCCTCAGACCGCTCCTCAGGACCTAGTTCTCGAGACTCAGAGAAAAGCTTTCTTCCCATCAGCCAGCAGGTCTGAAGCCCTGTAAGGTGGGGACCAACCATGCTATCTGGCTGGCCCCAAAGGCCTCTCCGACTAAAAAACGGGACGGAATGTCTCTTAGAGCTCAGAACTCCAGGTTTTGCCCGCGAGCGGGTCAACAAGGAAGGCGGCCATGCTGCCATCTCCCTCCCTCCAGGTCCGGGGATCCAAACCACCCTTACCTCCCAGTAGACTCCGCTAACGGTCTCAACCGGCCGCTAGGAGCACGTGGAGCTGCAGCAGTCCAGCGAAGCGCCGACACCAGCTCACCCAGCTATCCCGCGTAGAACACACTCCCGGCCGTCGCGCTCCAAAGCGCACGCGCGTCGCGGCCACGCCCCCGAGACGGAAGTGACGGCGCCGGAAGTCGCCGACGTGCTTCAGAGGGGCGTTGTCGGAATGGTTCTGAGGCGGTTGGAGTCTTGCAGTTGTTGCCGAAGATTTGACAGGGACGAGTGACAAGGAGGCGGCCGGGCAGGAGCGGCCTCCGGGGGTAAGGCGTCCCGGGACGCTGGCCTCGCGCAGGCTGCGAGTCTGCGAGGCTGGGGTGCGCGCGGGCCTGCTGACAGCACAGTGTAGCGGGGCCCGAGCGAGCAAAAAGCTTAGGCTCCGGACATCGGAGCCGGCCTCCTTCCCGCCGTCACCCTTGCTGCTGTCAACGCAGCTCTTGGTACCTGCGTCGCCCCAAGATAGGAGAAACGCTTAGGACTCTGGGCCTCATAGCCGCTGCGTACCTCATTCACCACGTAGCCATCTGTACCTTGATGTCCCCTCTGTAGAATGCTATTACTTACTTCAGCACTAGTCCTCGGAACCTTGTAGGACTAAATGAGTCGGTTCAAGTTGGGTGCTGGGCGGGCGTGTGTGTTTTAGTAAGTACTTGCCAAACGTTAGCTGTGTCCGCCCGTAAGACAGCATCTGGTAAATGATAGTGGTCACGCTTGCTTAAATAAGTGGATGAAAGTCAAACTGGCTATGACTAGTATTAAGAGAAACATCAACCCTGGGATGGGAAATTTGTCTGTGACAGGGAGATTTCTCTATTTGTTGTGGCTTCCAAAGCAGGGTACAACAGAATAAGGTGTTTCAGATAAGAGATATTTTCTCACAGTCTGGAGGATGGATGGTCATGAATGTGGTGGCATCAGGTTTGCTTGCTTTAGAGGACTGTTCTGGCATGCAGGTGGTGACCCTGATGCTGTGCCACTCCAGCATTGACATTTCTGCTTGTGTCTACATTTTCCTAAGTAAGATCATCAGTTATATTGGAACAGGACTCATGCTAATGGACTCTTTTTAGCCCAGTTGCCTTATTAAAGGTCTAATCTTTACAGATAATCAAATTATGAGGTTCCAGAGAATGCAACAGAATGCATAAAGAGCCCGTTTTGGTGGCACGCACTTGTAATCCCAGCATTGGGTAGATGGAATAGGTGGATCCCTGGAGCCTCACATCTCAATAAGAGACCTTGTCTCAAAAAACAAGGTGGACAGCTCCTGAGGAACAATGCTCAAGGTTGGCTTCTGGCCTTCACGCGTATGTACCCACATATACACTGAACATGCACACATGTCTGTACTGTAGTTAACTAGGGATCCCTCTACAGCTTGATATAAAGCTCCACAGAAAACTTCCCTCAAATCATCCCCTGGTGTTAACTGCTTGGCAGAATCACCTAACCACACAGAAAGACCTTTCCTGTGGGTGCCTCCTATGTTAAAATTCAATTAAGACGACTCTTTTTTTGAGAAGCTCCTCTTCATTCACACCATCCCAAGCGTTTTCTTCTGCTTCTACTTGGCATTTCTTCGATTGGCATTTCCATTGTTTGATGTCTTTCACACTGATCTTTCTGCTGTTATATTTTTGGTTTTAATTGTAGCTTGCTGAAGGAACCCCATAGTTCTCTATTACTAAACGATAAACTGAATACCTGTGAGGCCCCATACACTTTCAGGTGTCAGAGTTACAGTGATCCGTGAAACAGATCTGGACTGTGTCTTTGCCACATAAAGACTGTCACTTCTGCCAGCTAGGTTGCACTCCTAATAGTCCACTCAGCTGTGAACTTATCAGTGGATCAACCCACTGAGGAATTCACACCCTCATCATCTAGCCACCTCACATTTGAACTCTGCTGCACTGAGGATTGAGCCTTAAATCTTTGAGAACTATTTTATATCCAAACTACAGTTTAGCGTGAGAGGGTCCCTGTAGGTGTTACAGCAGGCAAGGAAAAATTTATCAGGGTGAGATAAAAGTGAAATTTGATCAGCCCAATTTTTTTTTAACTGGTGTTGGGCCAGGCCAGGACTTCTAGAGCCTGACCCAGATCGTTTTACTGTACTTAAAGCACAGTGTAGTTTTGGAGAAGAAAGTTTTCTGATAACAATTAACTCAGTCCCAAGTGCACAGCAATTTTAAGACGTGTTTACACTGAGATTTTTTATTTTTATAAAGTAATCTGGCTTATTTCACAAAAATGAATACTGTTGACTCAGAAATAGTACCCAGATTTAGGGTCTAGAAATACTGACTGAAGTACACAGGCATTATGTTATTTAGGCTGCTGTACAAAATGACATCTCTCACAAGGATGAGTTTTACGTCATAAAAGTAATACTCAAGGTTTTCAGAGGAAAGGGTCTGAGATAGGTAAAACATCAATTCTTGGCAGGGCCTGGCTCAAAAGGATCACCAGGTTGTAAACTACATTTCCGTCAGCATGCCAGAATAGGTGTGTATTCGTCATTTTCATTGCTGCTATAGCAAAAAGTCTGATACTAGCAACTTAAGGAAGAGATTATTTTGGCTTATAGTCTGAGGGTGCAGTCCATCATGGCAATGGAGGCCTGTTGGCAGGAGCAAAAAACAGGTGTTGACATCGCATTTGCACCCAGGAAGCAGGGAGGTGCACGCTACTGCTCGGCTGCTTTCTTACTTATATTCAGCCATGGAATGATGTCACCTACATTCAGGGGTGACATCCCTCATGTGACTTCCCCGCTCATTTAAGCCTTTCTGACACTGAGAAGGGTACATCCCTGGGGGTCTCAGTCCCATTAAGTTGAAGGTCAAGATTAAGCATCACAGGTATTTAATAAATACAGGTTTGATCTTAGCTGATTGACTTTCTTTTTTTTTTAATATTTGTTTGTGTATATGTATTGTTTTTTTATTTTTAACTTTACATATTCATAGCTGGCCATAAAAGAAATGCATACAGTATTATCATAGCCATATTCTAGATTAGCATACTCACGTGCTTTGGGTTTCATATAGCTAATGGCTTCCATAATGGATCACTAAAAGGAGACATTTCCATATTGCAGAGAGTTGGGCTGAACAGCTCTGGGCTAGATGTTGCCAAAACAGCTCAGTGGGTAGGTGTGCATTTTAAGCAATAAAATTTGATGGACATAATGAAAGCCAAGGGTGGTTTGTGCATTTGAGGCCTCTTTTGTCCCAATGGTGTCCTTGAGAGTCTCTTACCTGCATTCTCTGCTGTAGGTCTCATGGTCTAGTATGGACCCTGTTGCTATTCACAGCTGCCACCTCCTTCAGCAGCTGCGAGAGCAGCGGATCCAAGGCCTGCTCTGTGACTGCATGCTGGTGGTAAGGGGAGTCTGCTTCAAAGCACACAAGAACGTGCTGGCAGCCTTCAGCCAGTATTTCAGGTGAGTACCTCACACTATGTCCTTCACTGCCAAGGAGACCCTGGCAGGAAAGCATTGTGGCTACGGTTCACCTTCCTCGCGGATTTTTCTGTCTTTGTCTTTGTTGTTTAAACAAAATGAGAGTTTTGGGTTTTCTTATTTCTTGAGTTAATATCATTTTATATTTAGAGTAACCTGAAAGAAAAATAGACTATTGGCTAAAGTATATGGGGGAGTGATTGAAAAGAATTAATTTCAATATTCTCTCTTATTTCCGTTTTTCCGAATAAAATAATTAAGGAATTGAATCTGTGGTAGGAATTTTACTATGATAGAAATTGGAGTGGAGATTGCTGGCTGTTGTTGTGCACATATGTCATCCCTGTACATAGGAGGCCATAGGAAGAGGATAGAGAGTTCCAGGCCAGCCAAGACCAGATAGGGATGATTGGAAGAAGAGCAAGAAATCAGCATGGGGAAAGTGTTCAGATGCTTTCCCCTCTTCTTCCCTCTCTTCCTACTTGCCTACTTCCCTCCCTTTCTAAATTAAGGCAGTTCAATTTATGCCTCTATTGGAGTGTTGTCAGAAAATCTTTGGTTTAACTTCAATTTAATTATTCCTGCCATAGTTTTGGCTTATGTGATTTACTTTTTTGGGAGGTGAGGGTGGAGTTTTGGTTTTCTTTTCAAGACAGGGTTTCTCTGTGTAGCCTAGCTGTCCTGAGCTCTCTTTCAGAACAGGTTGGCCTTGAACTCACATCAATCCACTTGCCTCTGCCACCCTGAGTGCTGAGATTAAAGGCATGTGCCACCACGCCAGACTATGATTTACTCATATATACTAAATAACAATAAGCGGTTGTGGTTCAATATAGATAAACCTTTGTACAATTGCCTGTTCTTTAGAAGTAAATTCTCTGGTTAGTAAATCTCTCTTTAGACACCAAGCTCCTCTTTGGAATACATTTACCTGCTCTGGTCAGCAGTGTATGGAGAATGACCTTCTGTTCCTCTGATAACCCTACACTGTGGCAGTAAGCCTTGGATTCTTGTGTGCACTGTTCCACACACTTTATGACTCAGTTCAGTACAGTGGATGGCAGTTTTTGTCCTGTGCAGAATGAACCCATATTCTTGGGCTTTGCTGTCTTCAGTTTCTTCTCTCTTCCCCGGACAGTTAGCTCTTGCAGGAGTGGTGTGTTGGCTATTCTGAGCTGGCATAAAAACCGAAGGCTGTTGGCAAAATGTTTGCAGCAGGTTTGTGAGACAGTTATGTACCCAAATCATCTTCACAAGTTGTGCTTGATGCCAGTTCCCTCACTGTGACCTTGCCTCATGCTGGAACAAGGAGCCCAGACCTCTTGCCTTTTTCTTCATTAAGTCAAGGTGCATTTCTTCCTGTTGATTTATGAACCTTTGAGTCTCTGCAAAAGTTAGCAGCGAGAAAGGCATGGTAGCTGACACACCAAGCACTGGGGAAGCAGAGGCAGGTAAATCTCTGTGGGTTCTAGGCCTGTCTGGTCTACATAGCAAGTCCCAGGCCAGCTAAGTCTACATAGTAAGAACCTGTTTCAAAAAACCAAACCAAAACAAAAAAACCTTAGCAGCCAAATTACATGTTATATAGGGAGTATATACTGAGGCTTGGTTATTCTTTCTGTCTTTATC